GTCAGTCCCTCAGCCTTGATAGTTGATGGTCAGTCCCTCAGCCTTGATAGTTGATGGTCAGTCCCTCAGCCTTGATAGTTGGTGGTCAGTCCCTCAGCCTTGATAGTTGATGGTCAGTCCCTCAGCCTTGATAGTTGGTGGTCAGTCCCTCAGCCTTGATAGTTGGTGGTCAATCCCTCAGCCTTGATAGTTGGTGGTCAATCCCTCAGCCTTGATAGTTAATGGTCAGTCCCTCAGTCTTACGCTGAGACACTGAATCCGGATTTTTAATATTCGTTCGGTTAATTTCCATTAGACTTCGTTCGTGAAAAAAAAAACTGAATCCTGATTAATTATCCGAGGCAAAATCATGCCATGAATCCGAATTTTCATCATTCAGATACAAACACGTGCAATGTACCCGGATTTCCACACAAAGACTCAGTCCTTCCGTCCACACCACGTAATTTATTGAATCCAGACTAATCATTCTGAGAGATTAATGCAGTGAATACAGATCTAGATAATTTACATAAGTAGCAAATGTTAATATTTGTTGTATGCCCTTGTTGCTCTCATTATTGTTTATTAACGTAATATTTTAATAATAATAATAATAATAATAATAATTATTATTATTATTATTATTATTATTATTATTATTATTATTATTATTATTATTATTATTATTATTATTTTTATTAACAGTAGTAGTACAGACCGGGCCGCGGGGGTTAACGCCAGGCCTCATGATGGATTAGGGCCTGATCAACCAGACTGTTACTGTGGACTTTTAACATCCTATAGAGAGGGAGCATGGACACGGGGGTCGTCCCACAGTTACTAAAAACAACAGACATAGCCCCACTCCACAAAGGGGGCAGTAAAGCAACAGCAAAGAACTACAGACCAATAGCACTAACATCCCATATCATAAAAATCTTTGAAAGGGTCCTAAGAAGCAAGATCACCACCCATCTAGAAACCCATCAATTACACAACCCAGGGCAACATGGGTTTAGAACAGGTCGCTCCTGTCTGTCTCAACTATTGGATCACTACGACAAGGTCCTAAATGCACTAGAAGACAAAAAGAATGCAGATGTAATATATACAGACTTTGCAAAAGCCTTCGACAAGTGTGACCATGGCGTAATAGCGCACAAAATGCGTGCTAAAGGAATAACAGGAAAAGTCGGTCGATGGATCTATAATTTCCTCACTAACAGAACACAGAGAGTAGTCGTCAACAGAGTAAAGTCCGAGGCAGCTACGGTGAAAAGCTCTGTTCCACAAGGCACAGTACTAGCTCCCATCTTGTTCCTCATCCTCATATCCGACATAGACAAGGATGTCAGCCACAGCACCGTGTCTTCCTTTGCAGATGACACCAGAATCTGCATGATAATGTCTTCCAGTGAAGACACTGCAAGGCTCCAGGCGGACATCAACCAAATCTTTAAATGGGCTGCAGAAAACAATGTGAAGTTCAACGATGAGAAATTTCAATTACTCCGATATGGAAAACGTGAGGAAATTAAAAGTATATCTAAGTATAAAACAAATTCCAACCACACAATAGAACGAAAAACTATTGTAAAAGACCTGGGAGTAATCATGTTGGAGGATCTCACCTTCAAAGACCACAACATTGCATCAATCGCATCTGCTAGAAAAATGCAGGATGGATAATGAGAACCTTCAAAACTAGGGATGACAAGTCCATGATGACACTCTTCAGGTCACTTGTTCTATCTAGGCTGGAATACTGCTGCACACTAACAGTACCTTCAAGGCAGGTGAAATTGCTGACCTAGAAAATGTACAGAGAACCTTCACGGCGCGCATAACGGAGATAAAACACCTCAATTACTGGGAACGCTTGAAGTTCCTGAATCTGTACTCCCTGGAACGCAGGCGGGAGAGATACATGATTGCATAAACTTGGAAAATCCTAGAGGGATTAGTACCAAACTTGCACACGAAAATCACTCCCTAGTGAAAGCAAAAGACTTGGCAGACGATGCAACATCCCCCCAATGAAAAGCAGGGGTGCCACTAGCACGATAAGAGAAACACAATAAGTGTCAGGGGCCGTAGGCTGTTCAACTGCCTCCCAGCATACATAAGGGGGATTACCAATAGGCCCCTGGCTGTCTTTAAGAAGGCGCTGGACAGGCACCTAGTCAGTACCTGACCAGCCGGGCAGTGGTTCGTACGCCCGGTTGCGTGCGGCCAACAGTAACAGCCTGGTTGATCAGGCCCTGATCCACAATGAGGCCTGGTCACAGACTGGGCAGAGGGGGCGTCGTTGACCCCCGATGCCCTCTCCAGGTATACTCCAGGCTGCACTTAAAACGACGTACGAACCACAGCCCCACTGATCAGGTACTGACTATAGGTGCCTATCCAGCGCCATCTTGAAGACAGCCAGGGGTCTATTGGTAATCCCCCTTATGTTGCATCTCTTGCCGAGTCTTTTCTTTCATAGTAGTACTACTACTAGTAGTAGTAGTAGTAGTGCAAGTAGTAGTAGTAATTGTAGTAGTCGTAGTATTACTACTAGTAGTAATAGTAGTAGCATCAATAATAATATCGGTCGTAATATTGGTAATATAGAAAATACAGTTAAGAATAATATCACTCTCACTCTTGTATTATTTCTTACTGTTGTATTATATTTTACTCTTGTATTATCCTAGTGTTGTATTATCTTAGTGTTGTATTATCTTAGTGTTGTATTACTTAAGTATGAAGTTAGTAGTGTTAACATGTATTAATGAAGACTGTATTACAGGTGAGGTCGGAGTGGCTTGTGAGGTACACTAGTGACCTCCACCATCATACCTCCGGCCTCTCACTGCACCTCCCCGGCGACCACGTGAGTACCTCTCACTGCACCTCCCCGGCGACCACGTGAGTACCTCTCACTGCACCTCCCCGGCGACCACGTGAGTACCTCTCACTGCACCTCCCCGGCGACCACGTGAGTACCTCTCACTGCACCTCCCCGGCGACCACGTGAGTACCTCTCACTGCACCTCCCCGGCGACCACGTGAGTACCTCTCACTGGACCTCCCCGGCGACCACGTGAGTACCTCTCACTGCACCTCCCCGGCGACCACGTGAGTACCTCTCACTGCACCTCCCCGGCGACCACGTGAGCACCTCTCACTGCTCCTCCCCGGCGACCACGTGAGTACCTCTCACTGCACCTCCCCGGCGACCACGTGAGTACCTCTCACTGCACCTCCCGGCGACCACGTGAGTACCTCTCACTGCACCTCCCCGGCGACCACGTGAGTACCTCTCACTGCACCTCCCCGGCGACCACGTGAGTACCTCTCACTGCACCTCCCCGACGACCACGTGAGTACCTCTCACTGCACCTCTCCGGCGACCAAGGGAGTACCACAACCTCTCACTGCACCTCCCCGGCGACCACGTGAGTACCACAACCTCTCACTGCACCTCCCCGGCGACCACGTGAGTACCACAACCTCTCACTGCACCTCCCCGGCGACCACGTGAGTACCTCTCACTGCACCTCCCCGGCGACCACGTGAGTACCACAACCTCTCACTGCACCTCCCCGGCGACCATGTGAGTACCACAACCTCTC